TGCGTGCGTGTCTGTGGTTGTTTGTCTATGTGTTGGCCCTGCTATGGATTGGCGAACTGTCCAGGGTGTCCCCCGCCTTCCCCCGATTGCCGGCCGGGATTGGCTCCGGCCCCCCCCGTGACCCCGCTCAGGGAACAAACGGTAGAAAACATTAATATATATATATAGATAGATAGATAGATACACACACGTGTGTGTGTGCGCGTGTGAGTGGTTTTATTGTCAAGTTCAAAAACACTTGCAGGTGTGGACAGGAGAAGTCAGCGCATCTATATTCTATATTTTTATCATCACAACACATAAAAAGGCCAAAACCGATAATGGAGTGATCTTATTAAAAGATACTTTGTGTGTATCAAAGACCAAGATATCGTCTTTCTCTGTGCCATAGAGCTCCATTGTTGCCCACTAACTACTAAAGTTCAGGTAAAGCAAAAGCAGCAATGTGTTTGTATGCTGAAATTAATATTTTCATAAAGATTAATATCTCTAGTTTTTTTTACATGTGCCAGTAGTTGTTTCAGTTTCAGTAGCAGCAATATGGCAGTGGAACAGTGGGCTAAGCAGGGGAAGTTCATTTGGCACAGAGTATAGCACATTTCATTCATGCAGCAGACATTGAAGAAATATTTTGTTATTTAAGTAATGGGGGAGGGGGGGCTGTGGCCCAGTAGAGCTTCATGTCTAGCAACACCCCTGCATGTAAACCAATCATATCAGCCTCATACTTACATCAGCTCCTTCTAGTGACTTCTTCAGCACTGCTACTACCTCCTCCTGAAAGGCCACCTCATCAACACACTTTGGCCTGCTGGCATTTGCGAAAACAGAGCCTGTTAACATGTATTAAGCATGCTGGCTTACTAATTTTCTCACATATTTGATATAGCCTTGCAAGTCTATGATTCTGTGATAACAAATCTATGTGATTCTGGTGGATTCATACATTCAAACAGACACGGTGTAAAGTGCACCTTTGTGGTTCACACTTACTATTTTTCTACCCAAGGTAGGGCCTTGGCTTTCTTCTCTGTACTGGGTCCTGCTGCTGTCTTGTCTTTCTGAGGTCTGGTAGGCTGGACAGTCGCTCCTTTCAAAAAAGCCTGCATGACTCCTTCTGACGGTAAAAACAACAGAAACGCCCAGGGGTAATTAAACAAACAGATGCAAAAGCAGAGAACACGGTTTTAAAAAGTCAAATAACATTACCAACACCACTGCCTTGCATACAATGTGAATTTGAGAAGCGTGGTGTGATGTCAAGTAATACCAGTACCACTAATACCACAATATCAGCTAGTTTCCTACAACAAAATGTCACCTTGCAAATTTTGTGACACTTCAAGCTCAAACTCAACATCGCGATGCAAGTTTGATGTAGCTCAATTGTGACAGTGATATTCAACAAGTTTAATTTTCACCAGATAACCTTCAGCACAATTACCTTTGTCGTTATTCAAATACTAACGTTAACGGAAGACACCGAACAATAGAGTTAACAGAGTTTTAATACTCTATAAGTCACCTTCTCCAAATTGTGTTGCGATTTTATATGCGAGAAGAATACAAATCAAGTTAACAGATTTCTGAACGATGTTTTGTGGTTATTCCTCATAAGCGATTAAAATGACATTGTATATGGTCGTCGTTCAGCATTTAAAATTACAGTTATTTATGTAAGATAGTTTGGTTGTAATGAAGCTACAGCTAGAAATCACATATGGTAGTAACTGACAAGCTAACAAAACTTGACTAAGTTAGCTCAGTTAGCCCGTGGTGCTCTGTTTACTATTAGATAGCTAATGGCTTTAGCCGATCGTTAGCTGTTGATTCTGCAACATAACGCACCCCCGCTTACCTCACCAACTGCTGTAAAGACAAACTGTCTTAATTATTCCACAGTCAGAATTGCTAGCTGCTAAAGCCGATCCACGATATTGCTTCTGATAAGTGACTACCCAGTAGAGCCCAGTTGCTCTCATGTGTAAAATGGATGTGTGACAACACCAGGATCTTCCCGCTCTGGTGACGAACATAACTTCCGTTGACGTCATTTCATGGCTTCCAATCACATGCTGAGGATGCTGAAGCTGCTCCTGCCCCTCCTTACCTCAGCATGTCTTCTCCCATCCCCCTTCTCCCATACATGTCACCTCCCCCCTCACCTTGTGTTATTAATGCACAATATAGATATTGTTATATTCGAAACTGTCGGATTCAAATTAAAAAAAAAAGTCAGTATTTATTAATTAAAAATTTTTAGAAAGAAATTTCACTTTAACTAAGTCAAGTGTTGCATAAGAGCACACTAGTGCTTCAATGGATGAATGATGATACTGCATACAGGAGATATTGTGCAGCTGTTGCCACTGGTGCTGCATATTTCTATTGTTTGAAAGCCTTGAGTGCAGCCTTGTATTGGCTGGAACAGAGAAGATAAGTCAGTGGCAGGTTGAGGGTGTGCACAGATGTCTCTGGCTAATGGTTATCCCCCAGGCAATCTCTACAGTCCCAGGAGTATACGCTCATGGAAAGATATATCCCTGCCTGGCAGTGTTTGCTTTAAACAAAATGTGGAGCAGAATCAGCAGAACAGCCTCTGGTAGCAGTGAATGCACCCAGGAGCGCATGAATGATGGGTGGAGGCTATAGTTTTGATTTCTTTGAGCATAGTTATGAAATCAGAGGTGCTTAGCAATACTGTTGATTTTAAAATGATTTTCTGTGCTCTTTGTTTCACTAGCTCCAATCCATGTACAGCCCAGCTCCAGACACCAGGATTTCACTCTTGGACCCATTTACCCCAGCCCCATCACTACACCCTCCCCTTTGTTTCTGTCTCACCCTCCACCCTCCAGGCAGGTATAGCAGCCCTCTGATTCATTTTCCCTCTTCGTGACTCAGCGTGTCTATTATTGCATATAGGGCATCATCTCAGCAACAACAGCAGTGCAGTGAAGTCTCCCTACAACTGGAGCGGACTCACAAAAAGTAATTTTTCTTCTGTTTGGGTTTTGTTTTATTGCTGTGAGGATTATTATTTTGGTTTGTTCTTTTTTTTACTTTGAAGAAAATTACTGAATACTTTACTTTTTTGATGAAAAGGACTGAATTACTGTCTGGGCAGCTGATGTTTTGTTGACTAGCTAGTTGTTTTCAGCCTGATTAGGGGTCTTTTGTTCTCTGACTTACACATTTACTTACAAACTGGTTCTTTTTCTAAATGATTTTCTGACTGTTTTTGCTGCCTATTTACTGACTCGCAGGCTGAAAAACTTTCTCTTTTGTTCAGTGACTGACTGACTGACCAATTAAATTGCTACTATACACGGTACACTGGCAGACTGGTGATCTTATTCATTGACTGGCTGGCTGATCTACTTGCTGAATGGCTAGGAGCGGCATCATCGCTGTCGGAGGCTTTGTGACTGGATCTGGAGATTTGTCAAGAAGAGGAGAGGCTGTTTGCAGGAAAAATAAACTTAAAAAAGATTACAACCAAGAGGCAGCAGAGTAGAGAAGAAAATCTGGGAGCACACAATCTGGATTAGGGAGCAAAAGCAAGGGAGACTGTCGGGAAGGGAAAGGTGAGTGGAGGAGGCGTAGTGGCAGAGAGAGAAAGAGAGAGAGATCTGTTTGAGAGAGGAGGAGAGGAAAGTGAGTTCACCCACACCCTGAGATGCTGTGCTGGCTGAGAGAAGACGAGATGTCGGTCCAGGAGCTGCTACAGAGGGTGCAGTGTGTCATCACTCATATTGGTAAGTCATCATAATTCTCCCCTTCGCTCTTCATTTTCTTCATTATATTTCATGCAAGCAATAAGGGTTTTTTTTTTCCAAGAGGGTTTTCTCTGGGGAAACTGTCAAATGTACAGGGGAGCTCTCTTATCTTCGACTATTCCTTTGCTCTTAGCTGAAGTATTGAAAGCTGTGTCTATTTTCGGAACTCAATGAATCAGTTCAAAATGTGAAGACAAGCAGAGCAGATGAAAGAGAGGCAGAGGACTGCCATCTTCTCATCAGGACCACTGAGCTGCAATCAGTGGGGTGCTCTGCATATGGGCAGTGTGGAAGGCATCATCAGGGTAGAAGAGGGATGATACTGAGTTTCATCAGTGACACTGGTTCTCTGTGGTTATCAGCATATTTAAAGATCTATTATTTGGTGTTATTATGATTGTATTTCATCTGTCAGGTAATCCAGTATTTTGCAGCATACAAAAATTATTAACAAGGTTTGCTTGGGTTGGTGTTTGACTCATCTGAGTCAGTATTTGCTGAGACCAGGATCAGATTTTATTTGATGTTTTAATTTGGAATAATTTACAAAACTGAAATAGCAGTAAACACCTGGTACTTACTTTACCTTTGGGATGATTAAGGGCTTTCAGTACTCAGTAGTGTAATTATGTGTGAACATTTATGGTGTTTCATCAATAGAAATCATATTAGTACTATTTTTATTTACAGTAATTGCAAGATCAATATTTTATAGATTATTAGTTGCTTCATTTCCTTCACCTTTGCTCCATGTTTTGCTTCCTTCCGGCTGTCCTTTGATCTTTTTCTTTTCCCAGTCACTCCTCTCCCTCGTGCATACCCTGCATCTCCATCTTTCCTCCTTTCTATCCTTTTTGCCCTTTCTCTCTGCCTGCCCACCATTTCCCTTCCCTGCCTTCTGTTACTTGCTCTCTCCTCCTTCCATCTATTTTCCTCCTCCTGTTTTGCCGTTTCCTCTCTCTTCTGTCCTATGTTTGAGTCACTTCCTGGCTGCTGAGGAAGTAGGTTAATGTGCCACGCTGGACACTGTTGCACAGCATCCTCCATCACTGCACTTCCTACATCACATAGGAAGAAAGAGGAGTGCTGGGTAGGGTGGCAGAGGCAAGGTTGTGCAGAGCGTCACTATGGAAACTGAGCTAGCTTCTACTAAACAAGGCACACTGGATTGATTTATTAGGAGCAAGGTCCACACCGGATGCTGTCATCAGTGTTTGCAGAATTGTGGTTGTCAATTTAATTGGATTTAGTTTTTTTTCTGAGATTTGTGTATTTCTTTCTTGCCCAAGCCTTTGTTTCCTGTTTCATATGTCATTTCCCAGTGCCTACCCATTAGGGAATTACATTCACACTAAGCTGACATAACAACCTGCAATGCAAACAACTTACAAATTCAAATAGTTGACACACTCTCACCACCTATACTCATTAACACAAGTTATCTGGAAAGCCTTGAAGGAATTTCTTCAAAATCAGCACAAATATCCACTTGGACAGAAAGATGAAATGATTAGATTTTGGTGGTCAAAGGTCAAGGTCACAGTGACCTAACATCTGTCCCATTCCTGTGAATTTGGCTGGTTGGCAGAGGCATACAAAAAAACAGAAATCAGTAATTCTAGTTTATATTTAAAATTTAATCTTTTTATTTCTTTTTTTGACCACTTTAAGGACATCTATTTTGGGTTAAAAGCTGAATTTGTTTTTGACCTTGAAAAGAGCAGTTGACTTGGATTAAGGACTTCCTCACTAAGAGGCCTCAAGTGGTGAGAATCGGAAGCTGCACATCATCCACACTGGTCCTGAACACAGGCACACCACAGGGCTGTGTGCTCAGCCCAGTTCTCTTCACACCCCACAAACACAGTAGTGAAGTTCGCAGACAACACCACTGTAGTGGGTCCCATCTCAGACAATGATGAGACTTACTACAGAGAGGAGATCCAGCACCTGACAAGGTGGTGTTCCGATATGTGGTAGTGGGAACGGGGCAGGACCCAATAAAGATGTCTGGAGACCGGAGAGTAGCTTCGAAGAATTCAGCAAAACCCCCTGCTGATTTCAAACAGTCCTCCCCTGTCGTCACTTCTCATGCTTCCAACAAAAGAACGGGTTAATTTCTAACAGTGTGAAATGACCAGTGTCTACTATGCTGACATCCACAGATAACAATCTTGTCCTGAACACCAACAAGACTAAGGAAGTCATTGTGGATTATAGGAGGTCCAGGAAGACAAAATATGCTCCTCTTCTCATACACGGGGAGGTGGTGGAGCAAGTGGATAACATGAAGTTCCCGGGCATCCACATCACATCTGAACTGACCTGGTCTCTTAACACATCCTACCTGGTGAAGAAAGCCCAGCAAAAGCTTTTCTTCCTCAGGAAGCGGAAACGCGCTGGTCTCTCCTCTCAGCTGCTCACAAACTTCTACAGAGCAGCAGTAGAGAGCATCCTCTATCTCTGTGCAACAGTGTGGTACGGGAGCTGCACTGCACAGGACAGAAAGGACTTGACCCGGGTGGTGAGAACAGCTCAGGCTATCGTAGGGAGTCCTCTTTTGGATCTGGACTCACTATACAGTGACTGGATCCAGGGGAGGGCGGGACGGATTGCTGCAGACCCCACCTACACAGGCAACAGTCTGTGCCTCTTCCCTCCAGGAAAAGGTACAAGGATATAAAGACTAAAGCAAACAGACCTTGAGACACAGCTTCTTCCCCAGAGCTGTGAAATCAATCACCCCCCTAACCCCTAATCACACATACAACCTCCCCCCTATGGACACACACAAAACACTGGACCTTTTCTCTTGTCAGAATACCTTTGGAATACACAGCAGTCATATATTGTAACAATACCTGAAATAGCAAAATTTCACATTGTAAAATCTATGCTCTGAATTTTCAGAGCAGTCTTCACAATATCAACATCACTATGATTTGACTGAGAAACAATTTTCCCCATGGTAATCTTGATGGTCTGTCTGAAACTGTGAACTAATGAGGTATTAACCCAGGTGTAACCTCAATGTGAAAAGCTTTTAAATGGTATGGCTCAACAATATTCTAAATAATAAAAATAACTCTGTTGATAAAATTAGTTTTTAAACTGTGTGTACAAATTTCACATTTTAAAATTTAAAAAGGTTCAATTAGAAAAAATTCTTGAAGCTAAGGTTCAAAAGATCATAATGTCTAACTATTTAGCGTGATATATATTTAAGTAGTTAACAGCAGTTAACAGATACCAACTGCGTCTGCGAGACAGAATTGTACTGCATTTTGGTAGCGATCGTTGTAAGGAAGAGATAAACAGTAGATTGTAACATTTTCTGCTGCCATGCTGCTAGCAGGATGGGGCGGACTGGCAGTGCCAGCGCCTCTTAGCCGCTCCATATCCAGTTGGTGAGAATAAGCACATCTGCATGAAGTTTAATATAGACAGCACTCTGTTGTTATTCCACTGTTGTATTATGTCAAGATAATAAACAAATTGAAGGAACCGTGGCGATTTATAATTACACAGATGTTTTCCTTCCAGCGTATTTTTTTGACTGCAAGCCTAAGGAGCAGTGAGACGGTACGCGCCGGAATGTGCGACTTACGCAAATACCGTCCATCTCTTCACAATGCCAATTACACAGCTGGATTCTGACAATTTTCTATATGAGTTTCATGCATTATATGTCTATAAAGCTTAAGAATGGCAAAATATGAGCACAAATTGGCAATGAGGAAGAGGACAAGCACAGAGAGACCTGCTAGAACGGGTGTCACGTGACCAAAAATGATCCCATAGGGTTTACATTGCACCATTCATTCCTATGTAGAAATACAGAAAATATAAATGCCGATCATAAAAAAAACTGTATAAGATATCAAGATGATTGTTGCACCAGTGGTAGCTGAACATCTCACAAGATGCACAGAGTTGAAATGGCGTTTCTAGCCCAAGGTATGCTGGAGATATTAATGTTCAAAGACGATGAGGCTTTCAAGACTTTCCCATTCATTTGAATGGGAAAAATTTGTGATGAAAAAAGCTGAATTTATTAAAAAGTATGAAAGTTATAAAGATGATTGTTGCACCATTGGTAGCTGAACTTTGCACGAGTTGAACAGAGTTGAAATGGCGTTTCTAGCCCAAGGTATGCTGAAGATATTAAGGTTCAAACTTGTCCCACTCATTTCCAATGGGAAAAATATGATGAAAAAAGCGGACTATCCTAAAAAGTATAAAAGTTATAAAAAAGTTGTATACAAGCATAAATGTCAAACAGCTGAACATGTTGATACCTTAATGGTGTGTCTAGGTGCAAAAATGCGGGACGAGTTAGAGGCCAAAAAACAGTGGAATAAACCAGAATAATAACTAGAAAACTGCATTTCCTGTCGAAAATGCGTGTGTGGATGCGAATTGCTGAAAGATCGCCCTGAATATGCTAAAGACTTTGACACCTGAATGGTTTTGCTAGCTGAAAGTATGCTGAAGTAGAATTTCCCCATTCTTTTGAATGGTGCAAAACTTTCAAAATAAAGCTACATATTGAAGAAGTATGGAGTTTAGAAAGGTTCTGAATAGAAGCATGAATGTCCTTGAAGAGCTGAACATTTTAACAGCTGCAAGTATTCTGAGCTAGAATTTCCCCATTCATTTGAATGGTGCAAAACTTTCAAAATAAAGCTACATATTGAAGAAGTATGGAGTTTAGAAAGGTTCTGAATAGAAGCATGAATGTCCTTGAAGAGCTGAACATTTTAACAGCTGCAAGTATTCTGAGCTAGAATTTCCCCATTCATTTGAATGGTGCAAAACTTTCAAAATAAAGCTACATATTGAAGAAGTATGGAGTTTAGAAAGGTTCTGAATAGAAGCATGAATGTCCTTGAAGAGCTGAACATTTTAACAGCTGCAAGTATTCTGAGCTAGAATTTCCCCATTCATTTGAATGGTGCAAAACTTTCAAAATAAAGCTA